GTATAGATGTGCTCATGTAGCTCACTAAAGATAAATAACATGTTAACTTGTTACGTTTCAGTAAATTAAGTATTACCATTGCTGAACATGGTAGCGTTTTGCTGGATAAATACAGCATTTCACTGTACATGTACGTTTGCTGCACAATATCAAATGCTGGACAGACTTTAAAAATACTGTACAATACATCAAGATGATGTCAGGGCCGCCAAGAGCCAGGCCGGGCCCCAGGACAATTGTCTAGAGATATCGGGCCCCATGACAAAAGAAAGCTCTTCTCTTCTACTTGAATAACTTAAAAAAAAAAAAAAAAAAGTCCTCAGGCCAAAACTTTTCCTCCTCTTACTTGAATTACTTTTTCTAAAAAAAAAAGGTCCCCAAGCGCAAAAACTTTCTTTACTTAATTTTCTAGGGAAAAAACTTCCCTCTCTCGTCTTGTGTCGAATTTCTCATACAGAACAAAAAAAAACTAGTTGTCGGAGCCCCCTTATACCGCTATAGTCGGCCCTGGATGCTGTACCTATGGTCACGCTAGTGTAATAATATTCCTAATCACTAAAAATACATTTTAAAAATATTATGTTGTAGGTTTCCTTTGTGCTGGATTATAATTCTAGTAAAATCTCAGGAATTTTAATAGATAAATAACACAGAATTGGTTAAAGAAGAATATGTAACATCTGAAATTATTTCTTTTTCTTTCATAGCAGAAAATGGTTCTAAAACAGATTGTTTTTTATAAAAAGCTCTGTATAACTTGGACATCCATTATTAAGCATCAAATTTGTAAAATTCGAAATAAATTTCATTATTTATTTAAATAAAGTAAATAATAATTAAGTGCAAAAATTTAATCGAGCATATTTTTCAATTCCTATATATGCATATTATTTTCTTTAATAATAGTTAATAAAGTAAATGTATTGCCTCTAAAGTTATTTTTCACAGAAGAACTATACAGTGAGCATCATAAGTCTTACCCCCCCTAACTAACTCGTTACTGGAGTCTTGTTAGGAAAATCGCCGAGACAGGTCGATTTTTGTTTTCTACAATGTACATTTTTGTATGATTAGTTTGCCCTTAATTTCATCCCTTACTTGAGGGGAATAACCCTTTCGAAAAATTTAAATGGCATAGGGTGGTGAGTGATAGCTCATTTGAAAGGGGGTTTTATTCTCTATTCAACCGTGCAAAAAAAATTTAAATTTGCATCATTACGTGTTGATTTATTAATGTTTAAAAATAACAAAACCTCACAAAATAGGAAAGTAACTAAACTAATAGTGACCTTCTAATGGCAATAAGTCTTACTTCACGTCTGAACCAAAACCGAAATCATGCAGGGCCGAATTTTAATTCTAAGGATGAGTGCGCTACGTTAATTTCCGTTATTCTGAAACAACAATTAGTCGAGAATTAATGAAGCAAATTTCAATTTTTTTTACATGGTTCAGTAGAGAATAAAACGCTCTTTCAAATGAGCTATCACTCACCACCCCATGCCATTTAAATTTTTCGAAAGGGTTGCTCCCCTCCAGTAAGGGATGAAATTAAGGGTAAACTATTTATACAAAAATGTACATTGTAAAAATCAAAAATAGACGTGTCTCGGCGATTTTCCTAACAAGACTCCAGTAACGAGTTAGATATGGTGCTCACTGTATAATTAAGTTTACATTTCTATTAAAACTATGATTAGTAGGTAAATATCTTTTTTTAGCATCGTACAACTGCCATCTTAATAAAAATCTAGTGGCCTTTGAAATATACCTTATATAAATACACATTTTAACTACTTTTGTACAATCGTTCACCAGATTAGCTACTAGTGAACCTTTGCAATATACGAGTAGGTACCTTATTATACGATTTCGTGCAATTGTTCAGTGTTTTAGATTCTAGTGAGCCTTTGATATATTCCTCATATACCCTTTATACCTACTTTTGTCCAATTGTTCAGTGTTTTATAGCAACCTTATGGTATCACACATGTGTAATTGTGTTACTTGAGATATACCTATTTTATTATTACCTACCTCTAGTTCTGTGATATTGGTACTTTATTTCAAAAGTTTTTTAATAATAAATTTATTCAATTTTTTATTTTGTTTTATTCAGATTTTACTATATCCTCAATATACTATTTAACATATATAGTGTGTCCTAGGATGGACTTAACTATACTTATCTTAAATTTTTCAAAAAAGTCATTTTTCATAATTTCTCAACGTTAATCGTATTTATTTAACAAGCAAAAGAAATTATGAAGAATTACTTTTTTTTAAATTTAAAATAAATATTGTTACAAGTATTGTTAAATCCATCCGTGGACATAGTGTTTAATGGATTCACATTATAAGCATCTATAAAACGTTTCAGAGCAACTTTCGGGGAAAGTACCGTAAAAGTGCTAGTGTGATGTTTTCCGAACTTCACTTTGTAACCTCTATTAGATGTGCTATAAAAGTCTTGCCATTGCGGACATTCTGCGATTGCATGGATATTAGGGTTACATTAAAAGTACATTGGAGCTTAAAGAGCTTAAAATTGCAGCTTATTAACGTAGATAGGATGTTTTTGTGCTAGATGGGTAGTAATTTACCCCAATTCAAATTGTACGGGTAACTGAACCGAAAGCTCTTTAGTTAGTAAACCTTATCCTCTCCAGCAAATATTAGAAGAGAAGAGCTATCACTAATGATGCCGCGAGACGAAAGAATGTCATTTCTAGACGAGAATTTCTCGTTTCTCTCGAGCTCTCTCGAACAATTTTCTCTTTGCTTATTTGAAATTTTTAATTGCTTATCGTAACTTAAAATTTTAACATATTAAATTAACTATAACACATCTATTCTGTATATATTAAATGATAACAAATGATACTTGTGTTATTAGGATTTTATAAATAGTAATTTATAAGAAAATATATTTCTCATTTCATTTATTTAAAATATATACAATAATTTCCTATATCTAATCCATTCTGCTTTACTGAGGTTACTTTTGAAGATAAGTTGAAAATGTTTAAGCGTTTTTTCGAAAAACTATCAAAGAAAAGGTAATACAAACGAATGTATTATATACAGTGAGGACGAAAATTGTACCCTCCTCTATTTTAACTTCTAAATGAAAAAGGATAATGACAAAACAAAAACGAGGTAAAACTTAAGAGATATTATATTTTTGTTATAACGAGATGCACTTTGCTTGAGATACGTAAGATAGAGGGAGTTACTAGCTTTAAATTTTCTAATGGAAAGTAGGGTCATTCAACCTCAAAGGATCATTACCGGAGGTATAATACCTTATAAATGCTGTTTTTTACAACAATAGTATACAATGGGTAATTAACATTTTGGCTAGTACAGAGTAAATATCAATATCTTTTATAAATTTAAGTAATTTTTTACTGTTAGAGGGATTTAACACTGCACAAATGGCAATTTTTGTAGCTGGTACTTTGTCCTTATACAGACATGTTCTGGGCCTTTACTAATAAGTTACATTCTTGATAACTCTCGTATTAACAATTATTGTTTTAATATTAAGGAAACGCTTCTTGTATTTACTAAAATAAATAAATTAAGAATATCAAAGGTGATTTAAAAACCACGTATTAAATTTTTCATAACTTCTTGGCAAAAAAAAATCTTATTAAAAAATTATCTTCTAACATTATCTAACATTTTTAGGAATATTGCAGCACACGAGGATTATCAAGAATGTAATTTTTATAAAAACAAAAAAAAATTAAAACTGTTTGCTTGGACGTAAATATAATCAAAATATCTTTCAAATGAGGCATTACATGACTTTACTTTTCATTAGTAAATTTAAAGATAGTAACGCCTTCTATTTTACGCCTCAAGTAAAGTGCATCTCATTATAACAAAAATATCATAATGTTTTTCTAATTTCACATCGTTTTTGTTCTATGTCTCTATCTTCTTGCATTTTGAAAACATACTACAAAATGCTTTCATTTAACATCGCAGGATTGCATTAGAAAAATTCTAACTTCCAATTTAACCTCTTCCCCCTTCCCCAACTAACTTACAAGACAAAGTATTTTCGTTTTTAGTTAACGCCTAATCTGGGCCACTTATTACTTTAAATTTCAATTGTAAAACGACTGTGTCAGACGGACAGACAGAGAGATATAAGTCTTTCTTATTGCCAAATTTGGGTACTAATGTGCAAATTACTTGAACAATTATTTGCTTTTGTCTTACAAATTTTACCGTTTTTTCATGTTTCATCTTTTTCAAATTTAAATTTGATATTGTTTTATCACGAGAGAAAAGAGACGAGACGAAACAAGACGAGAGAAAGGCTCTCTCGAGCGAGAGAAGCGCCTTCTCGTCGAGACGAGAGAACAGTTTTCTCTCGCCCTACGAGACGAGAAGAGAGAGGCCACTCTCTCGTCTCGTCTTGTCTCGCGGCATCACTAGCTATCACTTACTTAAAGGCGCAAAGACCTTATCAAAAACATCTATTTCTGCGGTAAACAGAACTATATAGGGTGTATTATTATTATTATTATATGCAGGGGCAACAACCACTGCATACTTCCGAACATCTATGACACATACAAATAATTCAGACAACTCCTTTGAATTGTGTTTCTTCTTTATAATTTTTCTCTTGTATCTCTTTGCTCATTTCTTCTCTCTAGACAAACTATACGATGATCTCTAGATCAACAATCTCTTCATTTTTACAATACAAAGTTTCTGGTTTTATAACATTATAAGGGAGTTGCTATGTAAGACATTAACTATAAATTAATATCCTCATTTTTCTTAATTCTTGCGTTTCCAAAAAGAGGTTTTGACACTTTTATTGTTTTTTTTTATTTATTGCTTAGAATTATTTTAATTTTACCGTTTTTCACTACTTTAGCATTTCAAAGCAAAATACCAGCTTTTTTTATATTAGATCACATTCTAGGGACCGTACTTAAGTAATTTGGATCTATTTCACGTAAAGAATAAGAAATTTATAATATATACAATATATATTTACAATATTCATTAATAAAATATATCACATGTAATTTTAAGACATTATAATTAATAGAAATGAAAACAAAACGATTAGTATGTTAAATAAACCTTGATATTTAACATTCTGGACGACAGATACTGATGAAGTTGAATTGTCTTCTATTCCTAACATATCGAAAGCATCCCTTGCATTTTCAAAAATCCATGGATCATTACTAATGCATTCAGGCTTGAAAGATAAAATTCCTATGAGATTTTCATCGCAAACCAATGAGCTGCCAAGGGAAAACTGCAAAAATTAAAAAAATATTTATATTTATAAATCACTATTTACACCTGTATTTATTTACACAAAACCTCAGAATATTATTGCGATAAATGTATTTTTTTGTAAAGATAAAACCTGGCTCTCCTACTATGGCAGGGAGCATAATTTGTATTGAGACCTTAAAGCGAGATCGTCCAAACCAACAAAGTTGTGGTTTGGATACTCAAACCTTTACAGAACAAGAAAACTACAAAGGCACTTGCGTTCCTCAACGCCCAAAACCAAGGGTTCCAAACGGAACAGTGGCAAGTCATTAACAGACAAGTGGAAGACAACGGTCAAACCATTGTACTGTTGATTGACGACGACTCTCTGAAGGCTTTAGAGAACCTGCAGTTAAAACCCTATCTGGTAATCTTCAGAGCGCAAAGAGAGAGGAAGAAAGAACCTTCAGATGCTCATAATAGTGCCGGCTAATCTGAGACAATGCAAGACCGCCTCAGCAACCGTGGATATATATAAGGCATGTAATGGGGATCGGACAAATCGAAGGTAAGTTAATATACAATACCCAATGTGGAAACACTAGGGCACGTAATGGTCTAGACATCCTTAACTTACAAGCTTTGTTTTAGAGACCTAGTAGCAGTCAAGATGGAAATAAACATAGCAGGCGATAAGAGGCCACTCATTTTAACCTCTGCATACCTTCCCTATGATTCTATGATTCGCCCAGCCCTACACCAACCGATGAGTTAAGAGACCTAGTAAACACCTGTCGGGTTGAAAACCTGGAGGTACCTACTCATTGCTGCAGATGCAAATTCCCACCATACAACATTGGGCAGCACTGACAACAACAAAATAGGTGAATCTTTACTTGCATTCATTTTAAGTACTAACCTGGAAATATTGAATCGTGGAAATGAACCTACTTTTGCAACCAGTGGACAAATCACATTGGCAAGTGGTACGCATCTAGAGAGCCTTGGCTCTCAGATCATCGGCATATACTCATGGAAAGCAACAACGTCTATAAACAAGGAGATAAATATACACCGAGGCCTACATAAAACCGATTGGTTTGAATACGGGGTAGAGCTAGGGGCAGTGTTAAGAACCGTTTAAACAACTATTAATACTAAAAATATTATAGATGAAGTTGCAGAACAACTACGGGAACGCAATCATAACATATCACAATAACTGTTAGTTGAAAAACAGGAAAACTTCAAGAAAGTGAGCTGATGGAACACCGAACTCACCAAACTCAGAAAGAAAACATGTAAATACTCACAGAATATTACAATACTCTTAGGAAATCTAAGAGGGATTCATGAAGAACATTCTCTCAGGAAATTGAGAAAATACAACTAAAGGATGCAGACTCCACCGCATTCTAGCAAAATATACAATAAACCCTGTGGGGACTCTAAAAACTTAAAAAAGTTACATGGGCAATGCGCACCTTTAACCCATATAAATCACCGGGGCCAGTTGGGGTATTGCCGGGAGTCGGACAATCGGGCGCGGCCGTTCGGGCGCCGCCGTTCGAGCGCGGCCGTTCGGGCGCCGCCGTACGGGCGCGGGGTCAATCGGGCTCGCGGTCGATCGGGAGCGGCTGTTCGGGCGCGAAATTTTTATATTTCATAATAATAAAGAAACGCCCATTGGTAATATTTTCGAGATTTAGCAATAAATATAATTCTCACCATAATAATAGAATTATTAATATATTTTAAGAGCCTACGTTCATAATGTTATTTTTAATTTTTATGTGATTTTCTTATAAAAATGCTACTTCTTTCCGGACGATGTTATGACGTCGTCTTAGTTTGTACCATGCAAAAATAACTATTTTAGTTTTTTATTATTACTTATCCCTAAATATTTTTATTTATTGCTAATAATTCAGGAAAAGAGTGCAATACAATACATTAATATTATTTCTTAAAGATATTCAATAAGTACACCAAAAGCAACATATTTTGGGATTTCCCAAATCTTTTCTTAGTAACCTGTAAATTACTACGGGTAATTTTAATTCGTACAATTTGTAACATAATTTGTTGGCAATTAATCCCTTATTCCTCAGATAATTAACATAATATTTGTATGTAATCCCTTATTTCTCAGATAAATTAACCTTGAAATCGTTTCACTTAAAATTTATTATCTGAGTTGGTGAGGTGGGGATGGACAGTTCGAAAATAATAAATTTTTAACATTACTATAACAGTTGTCTATTAGCTTTGCTTGCTACATTTTACGCTTTGACATTGTGATTTTTTCTGCTGTTTCCTTTTATAACGACTGTGCTTCCCTCACGTTTATTTTGCCTATCTGCTATTTTTCTTCTTTCTACAATTATTATGTTTATTCTGAGTACTCGCTTTTGATGATAGAAGTGGTTTCTAAAGCAGGAAAGAAAAAATATGTCAGTAATGGATACTGTTACGTTTTTGACAAATTAAGTGTGTGTGCAACTAAAGAATATTGGCGTTGTGAACTTAAGGACAATGGGTGTAAATGTCGTATCCATATATAGAATGAAGTAATAATGAAACAAATTAATAATCATTCCCATGACAGTAACGCAGCAAAAGTGGAAGTTGACTGCTTTCGTGGTATAATAAAAATTCGTGCTAGAGAAATTATGGAACAAACGTGCTAAGTGATTAATGCATGTCTTAATGAGGCAGATTTATCACAGGCTGCACAAGCAGCTTTACCAAAAAATGCAGTTTTGAAGAAAATGATACGAAGGACGAGAAACGTTGTAAATGCTGCACCGTTGCTGATAGAACTCTTGATGATTCCTGATGAATACAAATTATTTAAACATAACGGAATTGCAAAGAACTTTTTAATAGCGGACAGCGGACTAGAACCATGGGACATTTTCTACGGCACCGCAGTTTTTCCAACAAATATATTATGGCCGAAAGATTTGGTGGAGTTCATACTGTGGCTTATACCCTGTTGCCAAATAAGCAGACTGCAACGTATGCGAGAATGATAGCATTACTAAAACAAGTTGAACCAAATTTATATCCTAGGAAGATCTCATGTGATTTTGAATTGGCCGCTATTAATGCGTTTAGGAATGCATTTCCAAATGTTCAAATTCTAGGATGTTTGTTTCATTTAACAAAAAATATGAGAAAACATTTGGGCGAACTTCATCTCATGGGAAGGTATAATAATTAAGCCGATTTTGCATTGCAAGGACGTATGATTACTTCTCTAGCGTTTGTGCCTATAGAAGATTTAGATGAAGCAATCGACGAGTTATCGAATATGTTGCCTCCCGAATTGGAACCTCTACTTCAATGGTTCGAGGACAATTATGTAGGACGTCTTAATCGTTCTGGCAATGGAAGACGACCAGCAATGTTTCCTCCAGAAATTTGGTCAGTTTATAATCGTGTGCTGTCTAATACAGACAGAACAAATAATCATGCCGAAGCAGCACACAGGCGATTACAAAATGAATTATCAATGAGCCATTCTACGATTTGGAAGCTGATCACTAGTTTAAAAAAAATTCAGCGAGGTAGGGATGTTTTTTACGAACAATTAGTTGCTGGCAACGAACCGCCAACAAAAAAACAGGCCTATATACATGCGGATAGACGAATTAAAAATTTAGTTGAAAATTATCAAAATAGAAATATATTAGAATGTTTATGTGGCATTGCACACAATTATCTGATGAATCCATATTATATTTGTGTTTAAAAATTATATATATCAGCAATAAAATTTTATTATTTTTGATATAGTTGTTTTATTTTTAAACTAGTATACAGTTCCCGAAGAGATTGGTTTTATATTATCATATATTCTGGTGGTGTCAAAAATAGGTCGATTGAACCTTACTGTACAAAAGTACAAAGTTACATAATGTTTTTCCAATATTTTGGAAACTAAAATTTTTATTGCCTTAGGCCCTAGGTAATAAATATTATTCTCACTTCCCATTGCAAGGCTTGCTAAATTCCCAATAGCTAATGTTCATGAAAAATGTTTAATTATTTAAAAATGAAATGTTAATCACAATTTACAATTTTCAGTATGTATTATTTTTATTTTTACATTTATGATACGTGCATAGAATTTTGCGGCCGAGTGCCCGGCGCCCGAACGGTCGGCGCCCGAACGACCGCGCCCGATCGTCCGCGCGCCCGATTGTCTTCGCGCTCGAACGGCGGCGCCCGATCGGCCGCGCCCGAATGGCGGCGCCCGAACGGCTGCGCCCGAATGTCCTAGACCGGGTATTACCGGTGTTTCTGCAACAATGAAATGAAAGTTCTTTAAATAAGGGCCAATTTCATTGTTGTGTTGAACGAACTAATAATATCTGATTTAAATATAATTTTGTTTCCACAGATATGTGAACTACGTTTAGATAATCTAAACTACAGTTAAAATTAGTCCATCAAGAATGAGCGCTTAAAAATTTAACTCAATTAACATAATCTAGATTACAAAATAGCTATTTTGTCTGTATTGTGGTTTGAAAATAAATTGGGATGAAGATGAAAACGAAATTTTAGAGAAACATATAAACATTGATATTGGGTTTCGTTTACTAAGAATAACTTTGACAGGATCATTTTATTGAAATGGAATATCCAACATTCTTCAGATGATTTCGTTGATGAAAGCAACACCTTCTCGTCTTGAACTGATATCAGCTGATAGTTTTCGTATGACTCTTAACTTCTTTTATGTTATTTTCGTGAGTCTTTCAAGACTACATTTGCTTTTATTATTTTCTAGTGAAGTTGCAATTCTGCAGTTATTGTGCTTCAAATTCACTTTTTGGTTGGTTAATATTTGGCAGCTAAATCTATAAGCATTGATTTTGTTTACAAAAAAAAAAACAAATATTCCTATCTACAACCTTTGGTTCATTTTGAAACTTCCAAAAAGTTTTTAGTTATCTATGCTAAAAAGATGGATACCATCAATGAAAAATATTTAACGGCTAGGTACCAAAAGTAGTTATCAAAAAG